CTTCTCTTTTTTTTTCCTTGAAGGAGATCAATTAAGCACTCCCCCCCCACCCCTGTCTACACATATTCAGTTGCAGACTTAAGACAAATTAAAGCTCTTTTCCTCAAATAGATAGCATAGTGTGCATGTCTGAGGATGCCAAAGCAGAATGGCAGCCAGAACAGTATGATTATATTCAGACAAACCTAACTGGACATTTTTATCAAGATATATACAAGTCTTTTAGTATTTCATCTTTCCTTCCTTCCTCATTTACAATTGTCAAACATTGTGCAGGGTCAGGGGGCAAGGAGTAAAAAGTCAGTTAGGCATGGTCTTTGCCCACAAGGAGGTCTCATAAGGTAAGTAAAGGAGCAAATGCAATGTACTGTGGTGAATTTTGTATAAGGAAATAGATAGCTTATAGTCCAACAGCCTGTACAAATAACTGCCAATCAAACCGAATTGTACCATCCTTTCCTGTTCCCTGTATTTTGTTTTCAGATTTCCTGGAGAACTCTACTTCATTCTGAAAGTTTCTGTTTAGTTACCAAGGGTTTAGTTAAGTCTTCTCATCAACATTCAACCCTTCTGTCCCAATGTTCTGCTCTCCAAGTTTGTCTGTTCCTCTTCTGACTCTTTCTTTCCTCTAACCAGCATGTTTGCCTTGGTTGATCACTTAACAAGACCCTCCCCAACACAACAAATCTTCCTTATTCTCGCAATAAATGGTCCTGACTTCTTTTTCAAATACAAAAGCTGTAATCATTCATTTTAGCTGATACTTGACCTGGGCTGCGACTGTTGGGTGGAGATCATTATGTTGCTGTAACAACTAGATCCACAAAATTTTTATAGCTTCAGCCTCTTCTGTGTCCACTGTCCTGCACAGCAGTGGTCCTTCTGCTTTCCTGTACCTGCTTCTGTTTCCATTAGTAGTCTTTGTACCCTCTAGGAAGCAGATAGAATATTGGATTCCCCCAAACTTAGCTTATTGTGTGATTAAAATGTATATTAAATGAAAATTGCTATTTTTGAGTACCACAGAGACTTTGGGGAAGATTGACAGGTACATATGTAGCAGAACCAAGATCTCAATTTTTCAATTTTTTACTTTGTTAAATAAAAAGTATAAAGTTATACCTGTAACGGGAACAAGAGGGAAAAAGTTGACATATGTGGGTTTTCACTATTTATAAAGCACATCTACATACATATTTTATTTGAATATTTGTGAGACAATGAATATGAGGTAACCAAGGTTAAGGTGGACCATGTGGTAAAATGATGGTCTCCGGACACTCAACCTGTTGGGCTCTTTTTACTCACTTCCCACCTGTGCCACCTGCCAGCATGGATATGTGTGCACATCTGAGACAAAAGGAGATCATTCTGTGTATCTATATAGCATGCATAATTCATGGAACTGTTTTCCCCAGATATATTACAGGAGACATATAGGAAAAACTTCAAAAGTTGTTCAGAGAAATTTGAGAATAGTAGTTCATAAATTTTTAGTAATCAAAAGTTGTCCACACATGAAAACATCCCTAATCTTTGAGACAACAATGACAGAACATCACAGAGACCTCCACATTACATTCCTGGATCCAATATTAGAAACGGATCATATGCTTGGTTAACTCTACAGAGACAGATAGCTAAGAGAATAGACTGGCCTGAGAAGAAATTTGGGAAATCTCTACTCAGCCCATCTTCATCTCCTTTCCCTTCAATTCCCTGTTTTGCAGCTCCAGGGAAGATTCCTTAATTGTGCACTCACCCACAATGTCTTCACTTGCACAGGGGCTCATCACGGTGGTCAGAGCAACGGCCCAAAGGATTAGAGCTCTGTTTAGGATCATCCTCTTTCCAAAGTGATCTCAAAAGCTGCTGTTCTGAGTTGCAAAGCAATTGTGAGGACTGAACCAAGGAAATCTAGACACTTAAACCAAACCCTGCCAGATCAGATTTTAGCCAATCAGAAAAATCCCTTATGATGATGCCTCAGTTGCCAGTGCAAAGATCATAGTAACAGGTCTGGAAGCAGAGAGGGGAATCCCCTGGTTCTGATGCAGCCTCTACTCAGTAGGTGTGAGGGAATGCTTTGTGAATGGACAGAGGATTCTAAATCAAACTCCTCTCTTGTGTATATGTCTGCTAGTCACAAGGGGGATGGGAATTGTTGAGCAGTCTTATGAATAGATGAAGTCACCAATAATATAGCTTAGGGCCAGGGTGGAGGCACATGCTTATAATCCCAGCTACTTGGGGGGGTTAGGCAGGAGGACTGTGAGTTCAAAGCCAGCCTCAGCAAATTATTGAGGCCCTAAGCAACTCAGTGAAACCTTGTCTCTAAATAAAATACAAAAAGGGCTGGGGATGTGGTTCAGTGGGTAAGTGGGTCTAATCCCTGGTACCAAGAAAAAAAAAAACCAAAAAACAAAAAAAAGTTTATTTCAGGATTTTCTGGGTTACAACCTCCAGGAATTCTTCTCTGAATTGATTTCCCCTCCTGGGTACCTCCCCACCCCAACCCCCACTCATAGTTCTCTGGTTTCCTTACCTATTTTTTTTAAGCTCCCATGGTATGTATGGAAGTCTCTAAATCTTGAGTTGACCCACCTACCTAGGGGATCTCTTCTGAAGGTAACCAAACAATGCCTTTGCCTTTTCTATTTGTATAAACCCATCTAGGTAAGTTTTTCCCTTGCTATTAAAGGCTTCAGGTGTTTTTACTCAGAGGTATAAAAGGGGATTTAAATGTTGTGTTGCCCACAGTTACTATATGATCTTTTACCCAGATCAGATTTTTTTCTTCCCTTGTATAATCTTTATGCCCTGTGTTTTGGTGCTGCCTGACCATATTTAGTCAGGAAATTCAGGGATTTTTTAAAAAGAGTTTTCTTAAAAACAAAACAAAACAAAACAAAGCTGAACTTTATTTTTTAAAAGGATAGACTTTCTTTTCTTATTTGTTTTAATTATTTACACATGATAGTACAATGATCTTGACATATCATACATTTGAATCATTTGGGGTATAATTTCTCATTTTTCTGAGTGTACAGGCTGCAGAATTACATTGGTCATGCAGTCATGTATATGCATACAGCAATAATAATGTCTATTTTACTCTGCTGTTCTTCCTTTCCTCCCTTCCCCTCCTCTCCCCTCCCCTCCCCTCCCATCACTTCTCTCTACCCAATCGAGTTTTCTTTTTTCAATATTTTATTTTTTTAGTTATAGTTGGACACAATACCTTTTATTTTGTTTATTTAATTTTATGTGGTTCAGAGGATTGAATCCAGGGATTCACACATGCTAGGTGAGTGCTCTACTGCTGAGCCACAACCCCAGCCCCCAATTCAGGGATTTTTATTATAAAAAATAAAACCCCAAACACCTAAAAAACAAACTCAGGCTGAAAGGGTAGAGTTTCTAAGCTGCAAAGCCTGAGTTAAAATGTAAAGGACCAGGCATTGTAAACCTGCTTCTAAACTGCAAAGCCTGGGTTAAATTCCTGAGGCAGTTAAGACAATGCCCTACTGGCCATTTAGTTGATTTATAGCCTAGGACCCTGTGTAGCTTGTCACGTAA